AATAACTGTTAAAACCATGAAAGATACCATATGGTATGTAAGAAAGGGATGTATGTGATTGTTGTTCCTCAATGAACAACTAGTTCTTTATTTCTTCTACAAAAACTTAAAGTTCCATTAAGAGAAAAATTTCAGAAGTGTCAAGAAGACATATCCAAAATGGAAATAAAGTTGAAAAGATAAATAAAATAAGCATTCCTTTGCTATATTTGGTGGAGTCCTGCAGAGAAAAAAATTCCAGCTAGGCAGCATTGAGGCATAGTTTATTAAATGCAGTTTCCCTCACAGCAGGACACAGAAAGAAAAACTGGTAAAACAGTCACATCAAAAAATTATGACTCTTCCATCTGATCTTTATGAATACGTAGAGAAGAAACTGTCCTCCTGGGTCATCCTTGGGCTACGTTGAGGTAAAGATGCTAAGAATTATTATGATTAATTTTTATTCCAAAGCATTATTTGTGCACATGGTTTGAACAGACAGAGAAAGTTACTTCCCACATTTAAGGGATTCAAACAGCATTTAGAAAAAGACCCTATGGAAGATTTCAAGTGGTTCTCCCAGTTATATTTTGAATATAGCACTTCAGTCTTTTGTTTTTTAAAGAGCATACAAAATTGAAATGCATTTGTATTCCCTTTGGGGAAAAATTGCAGTGGGTGGTAAACTGGTTATAAATGAAATTTCCCTAGATTCTGAGAGCTTGCTGATCATTTACGCCAGTGTTTTGCACAGTGTAGGCTGTGTCCCACTGATGAGTTATGAAGGCCACAATTAGCATTAGGAAGTAGAAAAGGAGGGAGCATAGAGTAAAACTGAATAAAAGAGAAGCAGTATGTTACACATACCGTTTCGTGAACTTTTGTTTCGGTTGTATGTGGGATATTGTGGGTCACAGTGTAAAGTATGTGTTGAACTATGGTTCTGGTCAAAAAACAAGAAATTTCCAATTTAATCAAATACCTTCCTTTTCCAGGTAGGACAACTGGAACCAGAGAGGGGAGATGAATGACTTTTTCAAGTCACAGAGGAGTCAGAAGTGTCCTGAGTCTCTCGACTCCCAGTATCCTTCTACAAGACTCTACTCATCAAAACATGCGTGGAGGTGGATGCCAACCCTTTCCCCATTGGTTTCCTCACCACTTTGGCAGCTGATATTCTATGCCCTTCTGGAACATTTCTTGTGCTGTTGGATTAACTAGGTTCCCTTTCCTCTGTTGACATTCTAATCACCTTTCTGCCATTTGGGATCAGTGCTTCGGTGGGATGGGGCAGCTGTGTGGAGGGCCAAATAATCAATCCTTGACTCATGGATAAGTCACGGTAGCTCAAGAGGTTGCAAAATTCCACAGCTCACTACCCCCTCACATTGATGAGCCACACACAAAATAGGATTATCGTGGCCCCGTGAAAAAATAGGGAGGTTCATCCAACAACTCACGTAGAGGCCATTTTCAGAAACAAGACAACCAGCTGACAACTGTAGGCTGTAGGTAATTTCTGCTAGCTGGTCCTCCTGAGCCAAAACAGTTGTAACTGCAATGGTAGTGTTGGATTATGAAAGAGGATCCTGCCTGGTACTCAAGGTGCCTCTGGCTTTGACCTAAGAGGAGAAATGCTGTACCCCACCAATAAATAAACATTTATATTGCATTTACCATATGGTAGGCATTCTTCAGACAGTATAATAAATATTTGCTCATTTAATCCACATAAATAACTTATAGGATTTAGAGGACTCTCCTAGCTGCAATTGTAGTCAAAGGTTTGAGTATTGAGACGAGTTAAAATAATTTGTTTTTCTTTCTGATTTGAAGACAGGAGGGTGAGTATGCTTCATAAAATTTAGAACTATGCCATTGACAGGGTGAATTAATCAACAGTCAAATCTAGGGAGAAAAGGTCAACTACCTACTTTTTTTGCAATGAGCCATCTACTTTTTTCTTTTTTGTTAAATCTCCCTCATTTATTTGTAGTATAGCTGCCTTGGTGCAGGGGGTCCACCTGGGTCCTGAAACCATCCACTTAAGACTATATGGAGATCAAGTTTGTGCCCTTGACTTGTTGAACCAATGCCTTACACAGTGCTGGAAGAGAGTCCTCAGTAAATGACATGTTAATTTATTAACACCTGTCAAAAATTGATCCAGACCTTGGAAACAGCTAGATTTGGATTTAGTGAAGAATATTAGTTGAAGTTTACTGAAGCATAAGAAAAGGAAGAGTTGTTTTTCTTAAAGAGGAATTGAAGTGAGTTTTTTTGGATATACCTATTAAGTGCCTGTATGTTTTATATGTTAACATTTAAATCCCACACTACTCTGATTGAATCTCCATTTCACAGATGAGGGAACTAAGTTAAATGACTTCTTGAAGGTAAATAGGTGAGGGACAGAATTCAGAATACAGTCTGCCTGAATAACCCATTACTCTTTCCAAGTCATGCTATAGACTGAAAGTTTTTTTTTTTTTTCCACTTGAAAAATAATTTGTTCCTAGCTGGAATTCACTGACCATGGCAAAACTTTAATTGATCTTTTCATGCCATAGCCCATTGGCTATCGACAAGGAATAGCAACAGTTAAAACCCCTTGTCTGTAATTAAGTCTTGGTTCTCTTAACAACTCCACAATGTAATTAAACTTATTTCTCCAACAGGCAGATGTGGTTCACTGAAGAATCTGAGCAGAGCCATTTAACTTGTGCTCAGTTTCCTGCTCATGGTTAACCACGTCAAGTCTGGGCTTGGAGCTAAAGAATAGGAGGAATGTAGAGAATGCTGCTAGCCCAGAACTCACCAGTGCTAAAGCTGGATCAGAGGCAGAGTCTATTTCCTGTACAGTCTGTGAAATGTCTAACTTGTTTCTGCTCATTGTTTTTCTCAATGAACATTCTGGGTTAAAAAAAAAATATGCAGATTTTCTAATATTTATCCTTTTCTTGGAGCATAATCCGTTAACTTAGGCAGCAAATTTTAGTGATTAATCACCGGAAATGGAAAAATGATTCTTTTTGAAAGGTGTAATTATCAGGTCTGACCATGTCTCAGAAAAAGATATTTATACCATTCTCGGTACATTCTGTGACTACCCTTTGAAAAAAAATTGGCTTGCACAGTTTTATGGAGAGTTTTTTTTTCAGGTACAATTTGGCTTAGCATAAAGGCACTGAAAACAGGGATAACATTGAAGAGTTAAATTACAGACTACGTTGTAGTGCACAGTGTGGGGGACCCAAAGAGATACAATTATCTTCACGAGGTTATAAAACTCTAGGTTTACAAATGCAAGACAAATAAAAATCTAGTAAAGTTGTAACCGAAAGTTGCTTGGAGTTAAAGGTCATTAAATAAAAAGAAGATATTAAGCAAGGTCACTTAGGGCCCTGATACCAAATAAACCCAACCTCCTTCCCCTCCCCAAAGTATTTTTGGTCAAATAACCCAAAAATATTTTCTAAGTTTTAAGTCCTCGAAAAATAAAGATTCAAATATCGTGTACTAAAATACTTACTGTCACTTGCTTGTTCTCAGTGGCTGCTCCGAGAAGACCATACAGTTAGTACCTGGAAAACAGTACAACCTCTTCAGAGAACTGAATGAGTCCAGATGTTGGCGATTATGACCTCCTGAATGCAATGGAATTTGTGCCAGGAGACTAAAGAATTAATTTATGACTTTCCTTACCTGTTTGCAATATGTGCTCAGCTTGTTATGAGTACACATTGTGATGCACGCTAATTACACCTAAAATAATGTGCAGCACATGACCACTGCAGTTAAGTTTATAAGGGGGGGCATTTGTCATATTTTACTCTGCACATCTGGTTCTATCATATTTGCTAGATGATTAATATTAGAATATATGATGGTGAAATCCTTTTATATCAGTTTTATTTGCCAGGAAATAGAACACTTTTCACCCATCTCTCTCTTCCCACCTGCCCCCACACTCTCTTTCTAGGTTGAACTCAAATTTATAGCACTAGGGTTCATCTGAGTGACAAGGGATTAGCTCTTGTTTTGTTAAGTTCCAGTCACAAATGGGATGGATGGGCATCCTTTGTTTTTAAAAGCACGTCCACCAGGAACAAAGCCTGAAGTTTACTCAGATACCTCAAACACATAAAACCACAGGAAGTAAATTCTAAATTTTAAACTCCCTTTTATTGAAATATAAGTTTGTTTAGTATATTTACACCACACTTTATGCACATATATACATAGAAGGTAAATTCTGTCAAATAAAAAAAGTTTTTCTTAATAGAAAATTAAAATAAAAACAAAGTAAAGTGCACACAACTGATTTTTTTTTTCTTTCTGGTGAACACCATCACTGTCAAAATTTTGGTCAGTTGGGAGGGGCAGAAAGAAATTCATTATTTGACTCAGTGCATACAGTCAGTCTTGAATTCACAGCCCTCAGGCCAAAACGACAGGAGTTCAGGAATGAGTCAAATTGTCAGGGTTTGCAGGGCTCCCCAGGACGCAGAGGTCTTGCTCCCTTTGTCCTATCCGGAGCGGTCCTCTTCTCTAAACAGTGAGCTCACCATCGCGGCGCTGGAACAAAGGGAGAACATAGGAAGGGGGCTCCGCCAGCCAATGTCACAGCCTTGCTGGGGCCACCAGTGCTACATTTGGTAGGAAATTGCAGAATTAGCTCAACAGCTCAAACGGAAGTTTTCCTTTTTCGGAAAGGGGGATGGGAGGGGCTTGGAAAGGAGGGGGAAGACCCCATCAGCCAGTTTCTTCGGATCCAATCTCCGCGAGGACACAGGAAAGAATCCTTTTATACTGGGTGGAGGGAATGTTACATTCTCGCCTCGGTCGAGTTTGCCCTCCCTGAACTTGGAAACAGTGTGGGATTAAAAGGAAGGGACAGGTGGGTGAACAAGTTGTCAGACACATTCGCGCTCAAGCCACTAGCTGGGCGTTGGCCGGCTGGTCCCAGTCGGTGGCAGACCTCAGTCCCGGGTCTCCCCCTCTTCCTCAGGGTAATGTTAAGTCTCCAGCCGGCGGCCGTACTTGGCCTTGCAGTGCAAAATGTGCTTGGCGAGGAAGTCGAGGCGGCGCTGCAGTAGCTGAGCGTGGGGGTCGGCGAGCGCGGCCAGCTCGGGGAAGCGAGGTTCGTGGCGCCGGTAGAGGCGCAGCAGCCGCGCCGCCGCGTCCTGACCGCGGTGCAGTTCCAGGACGCGCCTCGCAGTCCGCTCGCGGAACACGCACACTGACTGCAACAGCGGCTCGTTATACTTGTCCCACATGCCTGCCACCCGGTACCCGTGCACCAAACCCGCCTCGTTGTCCAGAAAGACCAGCGCCCCACCCGGTCCGCGGTGCAGATTGCTCGTGGCGCGCTGCATAACGCGCGGGTCCCATTGTAGGCTGAAGAGGTTGCTTACGAGCCGGTCGAAGTTGGCCGTCAGGTAGTCAAAAAGGATCAGGTCGGTCCACTGCACCAAGTCTACCAGCTCTGCCTGGCTGAGGTTGGCCAGCTCGCCCCCAGTGTCGCGGAGGGGCCGCAGGCGGCCGTCCTCCGAGCGCCAAGGCTCGGGCACCACCACGTCTGTGAGGTTGGGCAGCCAGCGCGTCAGACTCACCACACTGCCCTCGGTCCAGTGCGCGGCGCGCAGCTCCTCTTGCACCTGCGCCCACTGCGCGCCTCGAGCCTCCACCCGGGCCAGGGCCAGTGGTGGCACGTGGCGCTGGAGGCCCAGTAAGCGCGCAAGGTAGTAGGACAGGGCCTCGCCCTGAATCTGCTCCGGGTTGATGCCATAGCGAACACAGGCACGGGTGCCGTCGGCAAAGCGGGCCAGTCGGTTGGAGCTGCGTCCGCAGCCCCCGCGCTCCAGAGCCACCACCCGGGCACCGCGCGCTGCCTCCAGCCACGCCGCCGCCTGGGCCTCAGAAAAGCCCCGGGGCACCTGCTCCTCCAGACCGCGGCTCCAGAAGACGCCCCCTTGCACGGCCGCGCGCTCCGCCGGCCGGGGCCGCCCTGCTGGCACGTGCCGCCTGCGCTCGCCCGGGTGCCTCCGGGGCGGGCCGTCCGCGCCGACCGCCAGGGTGAGCAGCGCCCGGAAAGTTTTCAGGGAGCCGCCGCGGGCGTCCCAAGCCAGGGGCGGGGGCAGTGGGAAGCGAGGCTCAGGCGCTGGGCGGCCACTCCCGGCCGGACGCCGGAGGAGTCGGTCTTCAGGAGGCTGGGAGGCTGGCAGCTCGGTCCGCGGCGGCAGAAGCCCGCCCCACAGCGCCAGCAGCGATCCCAGCGCCAGCAGCCAGAGCCCCGCGGTGGCGGCGGCGCCCCGCATCCTCCTCCCCATGCTCCTGCCGGCGCGCCGGTGCCGCCGCCGCCGCTTCAAGCCGAGCCCGGGCGCCCGGGTCCGGGTGGCGAGGCGGGCCCGGCAGGTAGTTGGCTCCGGGGTTTCGGACGCCTCAGTCCCATCGTGGCCGCGGGGCGCTCGGGGGCTCTGTCCGGCGCTCTGCCCGGCTCTGGGAACTCGCCTCGCCGCCGCTTCCCAGCTGCTTTTGTATTTCGCTGTGAGACCCTCCGGCGGGCGCGATTCACAGGCACCCGGACCACGTGGGAGCTAGGGGGGATCCCCCTCCCCCTCCTCCGCCGCCGCTCCCCGCCCCCCGCTCCTCCGCCCCTTTCCCTCCTCTTCCCCTTAAAGCGGCGATGGATCCTTCCAGGAGGGAGAGGAGGCCCCACACTCGGTTGGGGACCTAGGGGAGGGGAGGAAGCCCGGCTGGCGGCGCCCGCGCGGGGGCGTCGGAGGGGGTGAAGCTGAGCCTGAGTCGGGCGGGGCAGGAGGAACGTGCCCTGGGCCCTTGCCTGGGTAGGGTGGTCCCCTCGTTTGGGCAGTGTCTGATCTCCAGCAAACTTCAGACAGATCCTCACCGCGTTCCCGGCCCTGCAAGGCGAGGATTGGGGCGGGTCCCTTTGCTTTCTCCCGGGTGATTTACGCTGTCTTATGTAAATTCCCGGGAATGTCCAAGCCACCGAGAGGAATCATCTGCGTTAAGACAACAGCTTTGAATCGACGTCCCTTCTCTCCAGCACGCTCGCCACCACGGGTCACTGCGGCTTGTGAGCTCTGAGGCTGGACGCTCCGCCTTTCCCCACGGACTCCGGAAATTAAACTTCGGGGTGCGCGTAGAACACCTGGGCCAGCCCCCTATTCACTTGCTTCTAAGTTTAGCAAAACGACTGTCCTCGGTCTGGTTTGGAGAGGTGAAGTCCACAATTGCAGGTCCCAGTGCTCGCGGAGTTTACTTTCCAGTGATGTTTAGGTTACTAAGAGCATCTTAGCCTGGGGTCAGACTTGGTACTGGGGAAAGGGGTGTCAGGAGAGACTTCATTAAAAGTGATAATGCTTTGCCCAGGAGAAAGCTAAGGAACCGAGAAAGGGATGCAGTCAGCAAGTGGGGAAGCTAAAATGCAAACCCAGTCTCCTGGCAGCGGGCCCACTGGATTCTTTCCCCTCCTTTAAGGAAGTTAAGTGTATGTCAGCATTCTCAGTTTTTTTTTTTTTTTTTAAACTCCCCGTCATTTTATTCCTCAACTGCAATTTTCAGTTAAACAAAGGAAAACAACTCCATGTTGCATTTGACTTACTGGTTTAATGGTTTAAAGGATAAAGTAATAGTGGGGAGGTGGTGTAACAAAACAATCACCCCAATCCACCCCCCAATCAACCATCCTTGGGTTCAATACACCAGGAAATCTCTTGGAAGTAACTGGCCCTCTCCCTTCTCTCCTTGCACCGGACTGCATCCCAGGCTAGTTACAAGAATGGGTTGTGGAGACGGAATCCTCTTGAAAGCCAGAGTTTGAAAGCTGTTTCTTTACTCTCATTTTATCCCCTCATCAGGTGTATATGGCGTTTTCAACTGTACTACATCAGCTGGCAACATGTGTATTTTATTCTCCACAGAATGAATGTTCTGGAGCTATAGGAAAAACACTGTAATGTTTGTGACTGAGCACAGACATCATAAAAACCACATTTGGGCCTTGCAGCAATGACCCAGTACATACATCTGTATGTTTCCACTGGTGTGGTAAGTACATATGTAGTGTAGGGTTTTTGTTGAATCTGTTTTGGACCACATGGTAGCCATGTCATGCCTTTTGATAGTTCTTATCTGATGAAGGGATTACAATGGCTCCTGTATGGATACATCAAAATATATTAATTCATTAAAAGGTATTATATTCCTGTCTTGTGCAAACTCCCTCCTACATCTTTCCTTAGAGAGTGGGGACTGTCTTATCCAATTTTTATTTATTTTACCTCCTAACATAGTATATTAGATGAAATAAGCGCTCAATACATTGAATTTGAATTTTTGTCTTTTGGTTTGACTTCTACTGGGATTTCTTTTTTTTTTTTTTTAATTAATGCAGCGCTTTCAGCTTGGGCAAACTATAAGCAAGATCTCCACCTTGTGGGCATAAGTAGAATATCATCTCATTAGAGAAAAGTGTACATTGCTAACTGGGTGATTAAGTTAAACTCAGAATAGTAAGTGGTCACTATGGGCCAAGTCATGTCTTAGAGGCTATGGAGGAATTCAAAGTAGTTGGTGTCTCTTTGCTGTTAGCAAAAGCTGTAAATAAGTAACTGCCAGGGTTGGGTCACTGTAAACTGCCGGGTGAGTCTCTCTTGTCCATTGCTTTGTAGTTGCTTGGGCCCAATGCCCGGCACTTAGTGGGTTTTCACATTTGGTAATGAGATAACAATTTGCTGAATAAATCATTGAAATGCTAATTAAAAGCACACCCATTCTCCTTTACTTCCCAGCCTGAAGACACTTCCCAACCCCCCAATCCTTAGGTGAAGCCTCTGTGGCTGGGATAGCCGCTGTTCACCTGTCCTTAAGCTGGAACCTATCTGCACCTTTGAGATTTTCTTAATACTCCTCAGAGTTTCTCCCTGAGCCCAGACCTCTCTTATCTTCACACTTGTTTGCAGTCTTGTATGAAGAATGATCTGGTTCATAAAACAGTGCCACCTGGGGAGCAGGGAAGGAGATTTGAAGTTGGAAGATTTTCTAAGTTTGGCATTTCCATTTTCTGGCTGTTCCTTGGACTGATTTTTACCTTCTGTGAGTTTCAATTTCTGAACTTGAGAAATGAGAAGAATAAATCATATCTATCTCACAGGGTTGTTATTCACTCAGTTTGAGTGAATGATTACTAGTAACCATAACAACAGCATCAGCAGATGCTTATTGAGTGTTCACTATGAGGTTGCACGTGCTTCATCCTACTTAACTCTCCCAACAAGTGTTATTACTGTCCCCACTTAACAGATGGGAAAAACCGAAGCAAAGCCAGTAACTGTGCTGAAGTCAGAGAACAGCTGTAAGAGACGGGGCTGAGATTCTTACAATCTTTTGTAAATTATAGACCGTGGGGCAATGTCAACTATAAAAATTATTGCATTAAATCAAAATAGATTCAACTCAAATTAAATTTTGCTTTGGAGTGTTCTCTGGGGGCTGCTACTAAGTGAAAATGTGAAGAGTATGAATTTGTAAGCCAGATTATCTGGGTTTAAAACCTAGCCCTTCCACTTACCAGTTCTATGACCTTGGCTGTGTTACTTAATCTCTCTGTGCCTCAGAGTACGTACTTATAAAATGCAGTTACAATACTATTATTAGAATTACCAGTGATAGTTATATATAATATATAATGGTCAATAGTAATAGTGACAAATTTTATAGATTATCAATGATTAAATTAGTCCCTCTCTTTAAACTACTTAAAACCCTCTGAGTGGTCACCACCATAGGTTTTTCCTTCTGATTTTACTGTTTCATTGCTTGAGGTCTCTTCCTTCTCCTGTTGCTGTCCTCCACTAAGCTTCCCTTGGGTCTTGAGAAGCCCAATACGGGTAGTGTTCTAGCCCAATGCACCTTCTTTATGTCCCAGCTGATGTCTTTTCTGACAATTCTGGGACTTTCCTTCACCATGGAGCTGAATCAGCTAGCCTCTATCAAGGCTCCTAGAACATCTCTTGTTAAAAGCCTAGGCAGCAGGTTTCTGATCTCTTCTCATTATGCTATCTTCTAGAGTCCTGTTCTTTTCTGGGTTTCTTGAGTTACAACCCCCTCCAAAAGATAGAGGTCCCAAATCCACCCTTCTCAATGCTTCTGTAAAAAAGAAGAGAGGAGTTATATTCCTTCATGCTGAATATGACTGCTATGGTTGACCTTGGGAAGTTTTCTGACCCTGTGGGCTACAGTTCCATCCTTTGTGTCTCCCTACTGTGGACTGAATGTTTGTGTCCCCTCAATTCATATGTGGAAATCCTAACCTGCATGTTGATGGTATTAAGAGGTAGGACCTTTAGGAGTCAAGCCAGTCATGAGAGTTGACCCCTAAAAAGGAGAATATTTGTTCATTAAGCCACCCATACTCTGTTATAGAAGCCTGAACTAAGATACTTCTTATTGCCCATTTTCTCTCTCAGTAAGATGCATTATTTTTCTGATTTGGGATCATTTTCCTTTTCTTGGTATCCCTATTTGACCATAATCTGGGTCTTCCAAGAATTTTGTAACTGATCTCATTTTCACATACAAGGTAGATACATTGAATAGTTCCCTCTCATCCACAGGGGATATGTTCCAAGATCTCCAGTGAATGCCTGAAACCATGGATAGTACTGTACCTGGTATGTAAATGATAGTACCAAAGTTAATCTGTTCTTTCATATTTTATGCCCGGGTGCCTCCTTTGCATCACTATTTGTGACCTTTGGGGGTTATTCTTAAGAAAAATAAGTTACTTGAATTCAAGTCCTGTAATACTGCTATAGTCAATCTGATAACTGCTGATAGCTGCTATTGAGTGGGTAGCATATACAGCATAGATACCCTGGACTAAGGGATGTTTCACATGAGATCTCATCACAGTACTCAGTGTGATGAAATTTAAAACTTATGAAGCATTTATTTCTAGAATTTTGCATTTAATATATTTAGACTGCAGTTGACTGAGTGTAACTGAAGCCATGGATGAGAGAATATTGTGCACACCTGGTTTCAGCTAAGTGCTTTGAATAGCAAGAAGGAGGCCAGAAAATGTAATAGTCCTTTAATGCAATTAATCTGTCTACCTGAATGAGCCCTGCTTTTAAGAACACATTGTGTTTTATGGAAGAAAGTCAAGTTGACAGAAACTCTTTCAGTTATGTGAGACTAATATTTTTGATTCTCTTTGTTCAATGTAGCTCTCTTTTGGACCTGCTTTTGAAAAAGATTCCTGTGGTCAGTAGTGCTAGACACTAGAATCTAAAGGTTGGAGCATTGGTAAAATTAAGATAGCAAATTTTAGAGTAGTTGCCAATACATATTTGAGTCCTCGTTAGACAGAAGATGATGGTAAAAATTCTGGACTGGGCATTTGGGGACATGGATTTCTTTCTGTACCTTACTTTAGGTCAATGGACATTTATTGTCCATATGCTAAAGTCTTAAGGAGGGCAGGAAGTGCTGGGGCATCAGATTTCTTCTTGTCCTT